GCATTGAAAATTCTCATTAAAACAATCATTTTTACAATTTATCAATAATTATGATTGAAAAGAATTGAAAGATTAATTAAATTAATTAAGCATTGAAAATTCTCATTAAAACAATCATTTTTACAATTGGTTGCTTTAATGGTAAAAATGATTGTTTTAATGATAATTTTCAATGCTTAATTAATTTAATTAATCTTGCAATTTCTTCCTTTATTTTAAAAAAATTTTTGAAAAAAAATTTGCATTATTTCTGCGATAAGAAAACTTTAATAAATACCTGTTTAATTTAAATATAAATGACCTCAAAAATCTTTTTTTAAATAATCCATAAAAGATGGAATGTAAAGAATAGGAAACGATTTAACATAAAATTTAATGTTCATTTAAATGAGCTATAAAAGTAATTAAATTTCACCTTTTGACCAGTTTTCACTTCAATTCAACAACAACAACAACAACAAATTCATTGAGTTTAATTATTTACAAAAAAAGCAAATTATCATTAATTAGAGGCTTTAGTTTCGAAGGATAAAGAAAAATCATTTCATAAATTATCCATTTCATTTTCTAATCATTTAATCCATTTCTTTTATAAAAATTTTAAATTTCAGGTCTCACGTAGATTTTTTTTGTAGAAAATATAACGATAAGATTTTTTACTGAAATTTAATAATAGCTTTACTTTTTGATATAATTTTTTCAATAATAAAAATTTGACAGCTATAGGAAGTTACCGAAATCAGACAATGCTACATCTATGGAAGCACCAAAATTTTATTACGATATGGATTTTGATTTGTGTGCATTGAAAGAAGCATTAAAATCAGCGGAACTTTTGGAAGAATCCGGTTATCAATCTGTTTTAGAACGCTCACAACATAATCAATACGGTACCGGATGGATTATTCATCAAGATATGAGCGAAATAAGTAATGATAATGATGATAATTGGGGTAAGTAAAATTTATTCACAATTTATACTTTATTATAATTGGTTTTACAATTGTTTGTTAATGATAATTAATTATTAATGATTGCAAATATAATTTAGAAATAAATCCGATGAATTTTATTTTATGCTAAAAAGTAAATGAACTATTAATGGAAATTTGATTACAATTATTTTACTTCTGAAAAAGTTTGTAAGTTAAAATGTGATCATTGATCATTTATAAATATATCAATTCGTTGAAATTCATTAAAGCAAATTTTACGTTTCACTTCTTGTATATTTAAAATAGCTTGAATTTTTATGAAGAATACGATAAAAAACATTTAACCTTATTCGGAATAATTATAGCTCGCTGCCTTATTAATTATGATTTTGATTCGAAATCTGTTTTTATGATAAATTTGAAATTTCATTAAAATATATTTTCATTGATGATAATGACAATAATGATAATTGCGATAATAACGATAATAACAATAAATAATAATGATGAAAATTAATAATAGTAGTAATAGTAATAATAATATTAATTAATAATAATATTAATAACAAATAATAATAGTAATAATAATATAATAATAACAATAATAACAATAATAATAAATAATACTATTAATAATAATAATGGTGATAACGGAAATTACATAATTTATTTTCTCATGGTAGGATTGAAATTTTAACAAGATATACTTCTGATGATCATAATTATGTTGATAATAATAATACTGACGATGAAAATAAAAATTAAAATCTTTTCTATGATAAATTTGAAATTTCACTGAAATATATTTTTATATACTATTGATGACAATATAGTAATAATAATCGATTTAATGAAAAGGATGAAGAGATCGGAAAAAATTGTATCATAATTATCATCATTCTCATTATCCTACCACCTTTATTCTAATCCTTTCTTCATCATCATCATCATCATCATAAATCGGATCCGCTCTTTTCCATCATCATCACAGGCCGGATCCGCTCAGGCAATCGCCATTTCCTGTTTAATAATCACTTCCAATCATTCATTCAATCTTTCCGTCCATATTTCTTCGCATCTTTTATTAAGGAAATTAATTAATAAAGAAATGTCAAACGGAACTTATCACAATATACATTTCACATTGATATCAAGCAATTATCATTTGATTGTTTTTTGCTAAAAATTTTCTTTTATATGTTTATTTTAAGTTTAGTTTTATTTTAAGTTAAATTTTGCTTTAAAGAATAATTATTTCAATTTTGAATAAAAATTTTAAATATTTTGCAAACAAAAATATAATTATACTTAATTAATTTTCTTTATTCTTTTCTCCAATGATTTGCAAATTATAATCGAAATAAACACAACAAAAATAAAATTTGATAAATTAAAAAATTAATTATTGGATTATCTTTTAAGAGCTATCTTGTGAAGATATAGCTGTTTCTCCTCAATACTTAATCCACCTCTTAGTGTTGAGGGTCAGCTTGAGTTATCTTTGGATGATATAATTTCAGGTCCCTTAGCTTTCATTTAAGCATCATTTATTTCAAAAGCTTATCTTTCTTTCTTTTCCGCTCATTTCGATGATTTTCAAGTATAATTTATTCAGGCCTGAAATTGTTAATCTGTTCGTTATGCGTTAAAAATAGTTTCTTTTTATGGCATGCTAAATATTCAATTGGAATAAAATTTACACTATGGATGTACTACAAAATTTAATATGCAAATTTTTGAATTTAAATTTATATTTCGATTTTACGAAATAATAAATGAGTGTCAAATTAATTGAATTGATAGTTCTAAAATGAAAAATCTCTTTTCTTCTATATATATATATATATATATATATGTATATGTTATGTTAATTTGGTTGATAGTCATATCTATCTATCATTGCAATAATCATGAATTATTATTTTCAGTATTTTTATTGGCAATAATTTTTTTAGGCAAAAATCGATTATGAATTGCTTTTTTGAATTATTTTTGATAGCTGTTAAAATTTACCAAAGATATTTTTTTCCTATGAATTTTTAAATTGGAAATAATTTTTTGAAATTCGTGAATTACTATGAATTTTTAAATTTGGATATAATTTTTTAAATTTGGGAATTGGAAAAAAATTTTCCAAAAATTGAATTTTTAATTATCTTTTTTAATATCATTCATTTATTTAGCAAAATTTTTGCTTTTTTAATTAACTGATAAAATCAGTTAATTAAAAATTATCTAATGATTTATTATTATTATTGATTTATTATCGAATGATTTTTTATTATTTACAGTAAATTAACTAACAATTTATTATTATTTATAATAAATTTAAGAAAAGAAAAGAAAACAAACAAAACAAAAATTTATAAAAATACAACATTGTTCTAACAATGAATAAAATATTTAAATGTTATCTTTCGCTTTCAAAAACATGAAATAACGAAAAAGGCTATTTTAAATTTTCATCAATTCTAAATTTTGATCATTTCATTCTTATAAAAATTCTTTTTGTTAAAAAATAAAAGTGATATTAAATTTTTTATAAATATAATATTATAATAATATATAGTTAAAATAACCTTTTTTTATAGTTAAAAAATTTTCAATTTTTTTTCTGAAGGTCATTTCATTGTAGGAAAAAAGTGAAGAAAAAATTAGTTTAGGAAATGATTCATTCATTTTTAGTATCATTAAAATTTATAATAGAGATAGATTTTATTTTCTTCTCTTTTTTTACTACCATAATTTTACTACTAAATTTTTCGTAGGAATGAGGAAAGAATTTTTACAAAAATATAATATAAAATAAAAAGGTTGATATATAAGTTTTTTTGTTGTTGTTATATATTTATTTTATTTGATCAGATGGCCATCAATGATGATGATGACCATCCTAAATTATACATTCAATTATAACCAAAGCCAGTTATACTCCATAATCGCGATATATAAGCTCTATATGATTGTCCTTGTTGATATTACTACTATTATTATTATTTGTTATAAAGACTACCTACTGGTTGCATTATTGCCAAATATTGCAATTACAACAATTGCTCTATCCACTTATTATCATTTCTAAATAAAAATATATTTATCTGTTTTATTATTACTTCTTTCGTCTCTGATATCATTGTCATTATCACTTTCATACTGTCACCACTGCAATCATCTATTGCATAAAGTAATTAAAATTTGTTGAAGAGTATTGCTGTTATAATAACTAACACTATATCTAGTGATTATCATGTGCTATTAAGGCTATCTCATTGTAATATTCGCTATATGTAGTAATTATTTATTTGAAGAGATATTACTACTAATAGTATTACTCTTGCAATATTATTTGTGCTATTACTATTACAATAATTATTACATCTACTGATTATTATTTACCATGAAAACAACTACTGATAGTGTTGCTGTAACAACAGCTACTGCTGAAATTACAACTAATATCAGTAATGCTTTTACTTCAACTATTAATAATGATAATTTATTATCAATGCATACAAATAAGAAAATATAATTGATAAAAATAGCAATAATAATTACAATAACAACTATTTATTATAAGATGATATTGATAATAGCGCATCAATGAACGAGATATACATTTATCATTATTACTTTATTCTCTAATATTATTATAATCATCGCTATTATTATCACTATCATTGCTAAGTAAATTCTTATCATTTTGATTGAAAATCATTATCAAATTTATATTTCATTCCTTATTCATTTTTATCCATCCTATTACTATAAATATATTGCAAGTTCTATTCTGCAGCAATATTCATCATCCTTTGTTGTATTTATCAAAATATAAAATGAGAATTTAAAAATGTACTATTAATTAATTCATACTACTATCACCCATAAATATATCATAAAGTATATATTATCAATAGGATATTATATGTTAAGGCAAATATCATATCAGTCAAATCTGATAATATTTCTAAATATCAATAATTAAAAATTTTTAAATTAAAGGTAAATTTTTGATTGATATGCTAAAAAAAATTTTCTATTATTTCATTAATTAATTTAGATGGTTTTATGGATGTTGGCAATAAACGAATTAAAATTAAAGAGATGTCAGATATATTGGCATCGCGATTTGCATTTATTACCGGTAAGTTTGTTTTGTATTTTCATTTCTTTTCTTTTGCTTGTAATTATAAAATATATTAATTAGTAAAATCGTTTTCTTCTTTGCTCCAAGTTGGTATTACTTTAAAAGGAATAAAATAAAATTTTCAAATTGAGAATTTATTACATTTATTTGCTTTATGATTGTTATCTTCTTTTTGTTTTCATTAATTGCTAAATTATTTCAAGATGATATCATTCATATAAAGTTTAAGCCTCAATTCAATTTTAAAATTATCTCGTATACTGAAATTAAATGATAGTTATGGGATAACATTGTAAAATTACAATCATTAGATGACAGGATAATGATCCAAAATATAAAAGTATGCACTTATATCAAGAAGAAATAGCGATAATATATTGAAATTATCACTATCATAAGTAATTATGAAGTATGCACTTACATCAATGAGAAATAATGGTAATTTATTGAAATTATCACCAGCTTATCACCGGCAATTATTACTACAATTACTGGTCTCACATTCAACACATTTTCTTTGATATAATTTGTTTCTGCTAAATTATTCCACCTAATCCATTCCACTAATTAAACCCATAATTTTTTTACGATTTAAGGGAAATATGTAAATTTAAGTATTATCAATTCCTTTTATGATAAAATATTTACGATTGAATTTTTCAAAATTTTCCATTTAAACACACATATTGACTTTTCTGAAAAACTTTTAAATTATTGTTTACTAATTTTATTTAATTCCATCTGATTAATTAAACATCCTATAATTTTTAAAGTAATTCAGCAAAAATGTACAAACTATATTAATTAAGTATTATCATTTTTGTATTTAATGACAGTTTCGCATTTAATCAGTTCCTTTTATGATAAAATATTTAAGATTGAATTTTTCATAAATTTCCATTTAACCACACATAGTATTGAGTTTTCTGAAAACCTTTAAATTGTTCTTTACTAATTTTATAGTATCGGTTGGAAGAGAACTTTAAAGAAGTTGGCTTTACAGCTGCACGTAAAAATAAAATGCCTTTCTTACATCTGAAACTAAAAATTTTTAAATTCTTTTTTTAGCATAAAAATTAAATTAATCCATTTCATTCATCTGTGGCTTATTTCTTTGAAGAAGAAGATCTTTATTTCTTTGAAGAAGATCTTATTTCATTTTATTATTAGTCTTATTTATTTTCATTCTAACTCTCTCATTTCTAACAAATCTTTCTTTCCAATAAATTCATTAACTGTCAACATTTCTTTTTTTCTATCTTTCATTTTTAAAGAAGAAAATTTTAATTTTACCTAAAATTTATCAAATTATCAAAAGTTAGAAAACGATTTAATAATTTGAAAGTTTAACTTTAGTACAATGAAATTACATATTATTATTAATACTGGTAATGTTAGTATTATTATTATTATTGTTCTATGATAGTAAACATTTCTACTGAATATAAAGATAATATTGATGATAATAGAGCAATAAAGATAGGGAAGGAAAAATTAAAGAGAATTTCGATGATTAAAACAGCTGGTACTATTTAATTCAAATAGATCATTTGTTTATCTTTTCCTTCCTTAATTTCAGTTTTTCTTTATTTTGCTTCATTTTTCAAATTACAAAGATATATGTTAAATTAGTTCAGTAAATGAAATAACGTTTTAAATTTATTCAATTCATTCATTTCCATCTTTTGTTGAGAATTTCTTTTTATGATTTTGTTAGAAAATCTTTTCTTGATTGTATTTCGGAATTTCTATAGACAGATTCCGGAATTTGTACAGATAGACGAATTTTTTACGTAATAGAATTTGTTGTAACCAATTTTATTCACTAAAAGCTATATTACACAAGGTATTAATCTATACTGACAATATACTGATAATTTCGTGCAGATATTATCTACGAAATGTAACTGAAAGTAATGAAGCGGAAGAAATAAATGTTTGTGAAAATAAGTGAAGAGTTGAATGAGTGCGCGATACTAGCTGCTGGATACTTGCTGCTGCTCTCGAAAAAGCGATGTCTAATAAGGGGTTTATTGGATTGCAAAAACCCATTACAGTGAGTAAAGAGATATCCTGTGGGATGACCTTCACTATTTTTTAGAATGACCTTTAAGAGATATTCTGTAGGATGACCTTTATTCTTTATATATTGGGAGTTAGCTTTTGACATTGTAAAAATGAAAAATTGAGTGACTGTCAGATTGGAAGATCTCTTCAGGACAAAGAGCTATTAGCAGTCGAATATAAGTATGGTTATTAAATTGGAAGTATTTCGACTATTTCAAGTAGATTTGGTTTTGAGCAAAGAAAGTTAATTTGGACAAAGAGCTATTAACAGCCAAGTATAAGTATGGTTATTAAATTAGAAGATGTTAACAATGAAATTGGGAGTACATTAATGTTCTTTGATAACAAACTGTAGCATTCCAAACAAAGCAGATAAGCTCAATTATAATTGGAAGATAAGATTAAGATAAATGATTTCTTATTTCAGATATCAAACTGAAATAGTTTCATATTTATTCTAGAAATATTTAAATAAGACAATGTTTTAGTCATATGGATTTAATACTAATTTATTTTAATATATTTATAATTCAGTTTTTTTTTACGACATTTTAATTAAAGTTTCAAATTTATCCTTTCCTTATTTTTACAATGAAAAATAAAAAAATTGAAATGGCTCACAAAAAAAAGATCGCCACGGTTTATAAATATCATTTTCGATATTTCGATACAGTATGCTGTTGAATCATATAGCTTATACTTCACTTACTGCAATGTTTTTGCTATGCAACTGAATTATTATTAGCAAAATAATTCAATAAAATTATATTATATGATGTAATATATCATATTTTTTATATTAATTTTTGAAATTCAATTTTTAGTATTAAATTTCAAAAATTAATTCAATAAATTGTAACAGTTGTTCTCAGTTTTTTTCCTGTTTGTTTTATGTTTTAGAAAATAATTTCTAACTATATATATTCCCTTATAAACATATACACAAATATTTATCTTTAAGATTAATCTTTCCCATCCTATCTTTTTGAAATAACTACCGGTGAAATAGAAAAACAATGGGAAAAAAATTCACTTTTTTCCGCTTCTAATTATATATGCATTTGTTAATTCCCATATTTATTCATCGCGGAAAATTTTATTAAATGAATTTATAAACATTTTCAACGATGCATAATGGCATGCACGTTAGATGAAACTGAATTGATACTACGTGTATGTTACATGATACTGAATTGATACTACGTGCACATTGATGAAAGTGAATTGATACTACGTGCACTTTAAATGAAACTGAATTGATACTACGTGTATGTTAAATGATATTGAATTGATACTACGAGCACATTAATGAAAGTGAATTGATACTACGTGCACTTGATACTACGTGTATGTTACATGATACTGAATTGATACTACGTGCACATTGATGAAAGTGAATTGATACTACGTGCACTTTAAATGAAACTGAATTGATACTACGTGTATGTTAAATGATATTGAATTGATACTACGAGCACATTAATGAAAGTGAATTGATACTACGTGCACTTGATACTACGTGTATGTTAAATGATACTGAATTGATACTACGTGCACATTAGATGAAAGTGAATTGATACTACGTGCACTTTAAATGAAACTGAATTGATACTACGTGCACGTTAATCATAAAATTTCTGATTGTTACCAAAAATTTATTATTTGCATAAGTGTTACCAATTTTTTTTGTTGAAGTTATTTATCTTGTGTATATGTACGTGTTATGTGATGTTGCTTGGATTATTATTTCTTATCATCGGTGCATGGATAGGTTGGTTTATTATCAAAAAAATCATTCGACAACTTTCCTACTTTTCTAATGGTAATTGAAAAAATTCTTCATTCATTTTAATTACAGCTAATTGAACATTTTTTCATTCATTATTGAAAATGAAACAATAAAATTTTATTGGCATCGAATAGTACAAAAATTCATTTTCATTTAGTTCAATGAAATGATTCATTTGAAATTTGTTTTCCTAAAAAAAGAAATAATTGAAAGAGAAGCATAATTTTTTGAAATGGATTTTTTTCATTCAAATAATTTACGAAACTATTTTGTTCCAACCTTTTCATGTAAATTTTTAGGGTAAATTTTTTTTTAAAAAGAGAATGAGCACAATTATTATAAATTTGCATAGTATTATGACTTTAATAATAAATAAATTTTGTGATATGAAAATTTCTATTCTTATCATCAAAAAAAAATTTGATTTTTTGAATTCAAGTCATTTAATATTTAATTTGTATTTAATTTGAAGGATGGTTATCAGTTAGTGCACTGATATAATTAATTTGAAATTTTTTTCTTAAATAAAAACATTGAAAAATTGATTTTTGATTTTAAGTTATTAATTATTCATTTAATTTATATTTAATTTGAAAGATGATAATTTTGGAAAGTATTAAAGTAATTATTAGTAGGGGAAAAAAATCAGTATTGTTTTTTTGATAAAAATATATAATTCATATAGTATATATGACTATTTTCTGTTTTTTCTTTTTCAGGTACTCGTACAAAAGAGGGTAATCCGGTACTTATATTTCCGGATAGTAGATCTCAATTAACAGAAGACGAACTTCATCTTCTTGTTTCCTATCTTCTTCAAATACCACCGTAAATTTTCTTTCTTAGAAGAAATAACTTAATTCAAACAAATTGCTAATTTCTCCTCCTTCTTTCATCTTATTCTATCACTTATCATATCTTATTTAAATCAAGCATACATGAAAAGTTTACGAAATATCAATTACAATGGAAGCTAAAATGAAATAATTGTAATAATTTGAAATGGTTTAATGATAATTTTTAGACTTGAAGAAGAACAAAAAAGTTATGTAATTATTATTGACAGACGTATGGATAAATGGTCTTCCGTACGCTTATTACTTTCCTATTTAATGGTAAGTGTAAGTTTAAATTTCAATTTCATATTTACGCTATATCAATCCTAACGTTTATGAAATTTTAAAATTAAATTTCACTCCGTAAAAATTGACTATACGTTATCTGTACATGCTTTAGTACAAACATATTAATAGGTGTAATTATGTAAGAAAGTTTCTTTAACTAATCGAAATTAAACTTAAAAAGATTCCTAATTTACGGATAAAAAAGGAAATAAAAAAGGAAGCGGAAGAATAACCGATATCAGATATTTGTAATATGTTATCAATATCTTAATATTTTAGTATGATATCAATATTTTAATTTGATATCAGTATTTTAATATGACATCAATATTTTAATTTGATATCAATATTTTAATATTTTAATGTGATATCAATATTTTAATTTAATATCAATATTTTTAATACTTTAATGTATTATCAATATTTTAACTTAATATCAGTATTTTAATATTTTAACATGATATCAATATTTTAATATGATATCAATATTTTAATTTAATATCAATATTTTTAATACTTTAATGTATTATCAATATTTTAATTTAATATCAGTATTTTAATATTTTAACATGATATCAACATTTAAATATTTTAATATGATATCAATACTTTAATATTTTAGTCATAGTAATTATGATTTAATTTGAATTTCAAATTATTGTTTGGTAATTTTTGTTAACTTTTCTTTAGTTTTTGCTAAATATATACTTTTTTTACTACGATATATAGTAGATAATAACCAAAAGTTCATTTCATTATTTTTTCCTTTCATTTCAATTTTTTCAAATCTATTGAAGATATCAGAAATAATTATAATTAATTATTACCAAACAGGAAAGGGACGATAGCTGCAATGTATTAAATAAGTTATAATTTTTGTGCAAAATTCTTTAATTGAAAAAGGGAATAAATCAATTTGACAAATTTCATTTTACAAATATAATTTTGAATTCTTCTTTTCAATCAATGAATAATTTTTGAATTATTAATTAGTTGTAATTTCGTGCGTAAATCAAAATCAAAATCTGCTTTTTTAGAATGTGATGAAATTAATGAATTAAAAAATTTGGAACTTTCTAAAAATTAATTTCATTTTTTTTGCTCCTTCTTATAAACATTTCAATTAATTAATTAAGGTATCACTTAAGCAATAAAAAGTTTAGATTTACTTATTGATCAGAAATTAATTGTGCAGTTTATTGACAGGCATTAAAATGAATTGTGATCGTATCATTTTCTATTTCTTTCCTTTTTTTTAACGATTGAATTCTAAACTAATTCTTATTAATCATTAAAAGTTTTGGTTGATAATTTGCAATTTTTTGAAATGAAAACGAAATCATTGAATTATACGATCGGTTGTTACCTTCCTTTAATTAACTGACGTTCAATGAAGCAGTTTAATTGAAATTTTCGACTTTTACAACTTCATTGCTTTTACATACTTCCTGCTCTTTCTGCCTGTTTTTTCATTTCGTCAAATATTTGAATGAATTCCATTGAGTAGAAAGTTTTGTACTAAATTAATTTTGCCTGTAAATATTAAATAAATTTTCTGCAAAAATAATTCACCGATTGATGAATGATTGAAATGAACGATTGATGGCGTTAACCGAATGACCAAATAAGTGACCAGTCAATCTGATTACCAATGTAATGTTTATTAATTGAAATATTAAGAAAATTTTTCGATAATTTGATTTGCTACAGATAACTCGTGGATCATTTGAATTTTAGTAATTCGAATTTTCCAGTTTGGCTTATATCAAAATATTAAGCAATTGAATCAATTGAAATGATTATGAAAATAAAAAGAATCAAAAATATATATAATAAGAGAAAACTAAAATAGGTAGCAGTTAATTAATTTAATAAAATAATTTTCAAATTTAGCTTACGGTTGAAAATTTTCAACAATGCGGAAATTTCTGCAAATTCGTGACATTTATATCTTTTCATGTCGTTTTTTCTTGTAAAGCAAAAAAAAAGATAGTTGAAGAAATCAATAAATTTGAAGTGTATGAATAATTAATAAATTTATTTGTTAAAAGAAGATAAAAATTTTAATGAAAAAAATTATTTTTTCTGTTATTGGAAATTAATAGTTTGCTTTAAATATAAAAATAATACAAATTAACCGGTATATATTTCAGTATATCCGGTATATGCCAGTATATCATTGGTATAACTTTTTGTCCGGTTTAAAGCCTGAAATGAACTGAAACATTTTAACAAAGAAAACAAAAAGAATGTTTAATTTAGGAAAATGATAGTTTGAAAAGGAAAAAATTACATTGATGCATTAGTTGATAAAAGTTAAAATTATTCCAGTTTGAAAGGTAGAGAGAGAGAGGGAGAGAAAGAAAATTTTAATTCACCATAATTTATATGAATATCATCACTGTTATTATCATCGTTATTATTATTATTGGTTATTATTAATTAATATTGTTACTATAAATTATTATTATTATTAATCACCATTAATTTTTTGTTATTATTGTTATCATTACTATCATTATTATTGTCATTTGTTAAAAATTTCAATTTAAGTACTTCGTTAAATATCGTTACAGTAATGATAACATTCATAACAAACAATTAATGGTAATTATTGTTTAAAGTTAATTTCTAACTTTTATATTTAAAGATTTCGCTTTTTTGCTATATTATCATACCATTCGATAATTTTTGATTAAATGATAAATTAATTCCTTTTTGTTATCAATCAATCATGTTTTTTTTTTTGCGACGTTTACCCTAAATTACGAAAGCAACAAGGGGTGTGGTATGATAATGATTAATTCATTTCAATTTCAATTTCATTTCATTTCATTTCATTTCAATTCATTTCAATTCAAATATTTTCCATTATTCAATTCATCTTTTTCTTTTTAGAGTGAAAACTCAATTAAAATACAAATAATCATACCTTGAAAAAATCTTTCTTTCGAATTTGTTTATTTGCAACATATCGACGAAAAAATTTCTAATGAAAAACTACAATAGGTTTACTATTATAAACTATTAAAAAAATTGAGTTAGATATACGAATAGTTAAAAAAGTTATACAATCAAGTACGATATTATTATAAGGGTTGAAAAAAAAATTGATTAAAACAAAAAATTAAAACAAAAAAATCATATTAAATTATATTAATTATATTAAGAAAAAAAAAATTATAACAAAAAATTATTAAAACAAAATAAATTGAATTGGAAAATTTGCATTTATTTTGAAATTGCGAAAATGGAAGTTTGCAAAAGCATTTAATTAAATCAAAAATTAATATTTTCATTATAACATTATACTTTTCTTATCATATCTTATTTTACTTTTACAGCATCACTCATATTTTTTCATTCCTAAAAATCAATTTAATATCATTTCTTACTGTTTGTTCCGTTTTTGATATTATCATATCCGATCGTTGTTATCAGTAGGAAAGACAACAAATAGGAAAGAAAAAAAGGATGCTAATCATTTTTGATAATTTTTGAAATGATTTGTTTTAGAAATCAAACAATTCTTCCTTTCTCTTCTATTCAGCTCAAAATTTTATTTAACATTAAGAAATTTTTGTTGTAGAAAAATTTTTTCAATCAATAAAATTTCAGCATTTTCCCATTTCTTTTTCTTTTATATTTTTCATATTGACAAAATTGTATTATTTTATACTTTCAAATCAAAACTATGGAATGGATAATTATAATATCGTGAAAGTTATTTCTTTCTAAGTATTAGTTTCTTATAAAATATTATTTTCATACTGTTTTTATTTTGTAGTATAGAAATATCTTTTCATAGGTATTGTTCATTCAAAACAAAATGGAAAAAAAGGAGTTATTAAAATATAGAGAAATAATAATTGTATCAAACTTATTCAAATAATTTTTATCAGATTTAATTAAACATATATATTTATTCGTTGAATTTGAACATATATTGAATTTGAACATTGAATATATTGAATATATTGAATTTGAAATTATAAATTATATTCAATTACTTATTAATTAATATATCATTACCTTAATTTTTATGCGTTAAATTGAAATAATACCTTTGTTTTTTTTTAAAGAAAAGCAAAAATGTGCATTTCATCTTTTTCCTTTTCAACATATTTAAAATTAATTAATTAATTAATGAATAAATCGATCGATTGAAAAGAAAAAAATTGAAATATTTGATTTGAATGTATTTCAGGAGACAAAAATGTACGGGAAAAGTAGAGTTAATTTATGTATGTAGCAATTTCTCTCATACACTGTTTGCATTGCAGAGCTCATTTCCAAGACCGGTTCGGATCGTAATTGTATTAAAACCGGAAAGTGTATTGCAGCGTGCACTCGAAGTAGGGTACCGCGGAATTTCTGAAAATTGCAAATTTAAGGTATGTAAATTTATTTCATTTTGTAATATTAGTAGGATTATTTCATTTTTTCAGTCTACTTAATACAATTATATTTTCCGGTAAAATTATATAGCTACTATATATCAGAAATAATCAGTTTTACGGAAAAAAAACAGCACCAACTATTTGTTCCGTTTAACAGTCAATGTATTAAATCGATATCATTTGATAGTATCTTATTGTTTCTATAACTTTGTTGAGTTCTTTCTTTGATTTTGATAATGCTAAAAATAATCAGATAACTTATCATTTAGTCTTATTAGACTTAATATAGTGAGGCAAAGAGTTATTTTCGGTCACTTCATCGTAATGATTCATATTTGTGAAATATTTGGATGCAATGTTACAATCAATGACAAGGCTAATTAATACAATCCGAAGCATTGATTAATTTGTAATTTTAACAATAATTTAAATAAATAATTTATAAAAATTCCAATAATTATTATTAATAAGATAAAGTTTGAATTCTAATTAGAATAGTATAGTATTAATAAATTACTGGCAAAATATTACATTTATTTTTCCTTTTTTTCTTCATCTTTTATTATTATTATCATTATTATGACTATTATCATTATTATTTATTATTAATTACTACTATTTATTATTTGTTATTATTTATTAATTAATGTTATTAATACGATTATTAATTAATATTATTACTACTATCATTAATTTATGTCATTATTACTAATTATTATCATTATTATTACTATTGTTATCTTTATCATTATTATTATATATTATACATATATTATTTATTATTATTATTGTTTATTATTAATTTATTATGATAAGATTGTACACAAAGTATATTAATATTGTATGCAATATGGAATGACAAATTTGAATAATCAATTTGTCAAAATTTTTAAATATATCAATTACTGTAAAAAGTATTGATTAGTGATATGATAAAAACTATAAGATCTATGAGATTTAAATTGCTCTTTGTCTCATTTTGTTTTCAGACTTCGTATACCACTTCGTAGTTCATAGTATTTTTTCAATAATTAATTAAATTTTAATTTAAAAAAGGAGAACTTTTAGATAATTAAGATTGCAAACTGTAATAATATAATTGTTAGAAAACTTTTACATGTCATAATAATTAAATTAAGTTAATTACTTGTTTCTCTTTTCCTTTTTAATTATTCTGAATATTTTTCAGAATGAAAAGAACTGCCTTAATTATTTTATAATTGCTGGCAATTAATAAATAAAATTTTGATATTATAAAATTATTGGCTTTACTTTCAATTTGAAAATAGGTAAAAAATAATTTACATTTCTATGTACTACACAGTGAAAATTTTTATGTTAT